CTCCTCTCCTCTCCCTCCTCTCCCTCTCCCTCTCTTCCCTTCTTACACCTTCGCTCTCGCTCGCTCTCTCTCTCTCCTCTCTCCTCTCCCTCTCTCGCTCTCTCTCTTCCTCTCTTCTCTCTCTTCTCTCTCTCTCTCTCTCTCTCTCTCTCTCTCTCTCACCTCCGTCCGCTCTCCTCTCTTCTCCTCTCTCTCCTCTCTCTCTCTCTCTCTCTCCCCCTCCTTTCTCTCTCTCTCTCTCTCCTGCTCGTCTCTCTCTCTCTCTTCTCTCTCCGCCCTTCCTCTCTCCTCTCTCTCCCTCTCTCTCTCATCTCTCTCTCTCTCTCCTCTCGCTCTTCTCTCTATCTCTCTCCCTCTCGCGCTCTCTCTCTCTCTCTCCCCTCTCCGCTTCTCTTCTCTCTCTCTCCCTTCTCTCTCCGCTCTCTTCTCTCTTCTCTCTCCCTCTCTCGCTCTCTACTCTCTCCTCTCCTCTCGCTCTCCTCTCCTCTCTCCTTCCTCTCGCCTTCTCTTCTCTCTTCTCCCTCTCGCCTCTCTCTCTCTCTCTCCCTCTCTCTCTCTCTCTCTCTCCCCTCTCGCTCTCTCTCTCTCTCCTCTCCTCTCTCTTCTCTCTCTCTCTCTCCTCTCGCTCTCTCTCTCTCCTCCTCTCCCTCTCGCTCTCTCTCTCTCTCCCTCTCGCTCTCTCTTTCTCTCCCTCTCGCTCTCTCTCTCTCTCCCTCTCGCTCTCTCTCTCTCTCCCTCTCTCTCCTCTCTTCTCCTCTCGCTCTCTCTCTCTCTTCCCTTCTCTCTCCTCTCTCTCTCTCCCTCTCGCTCTCTCTCTCTCTCCTCTCGCTCTCGTCTCGCTCCCTCTCGCTCTCGCTTCTCTCTTCTCCCTCTCGCTCTCGCCTCCCTCTGCTCTCCCTCTCGCTCCTCGCTCTTTCTCTCCCTCCCTCTCGCTCTCGCTCTCTCTCTCTCTCTCTCTCGCTCTCCCTCTCGCTCTCTCTCCTCTCCTCTCTCCTCTCTCCTCTCTCTCCTCTCTCTCTTCGTCCCTCTCGCTCTCTCTCTCTCCCTCTTCGACTCTCCCCTCTCCTCTCCTCTCCTTTCTCCCTCTCTCCCACCCTCTCGCTCCTCCCTCTCCCTCTCTCCCTCTCCCTCCCTCTCTTCCCCTCTTCCTCCACACTCCGTCTCCCGCCCTCCTCTCTCTCTCTTCCTCTCCCTAGCCTCTCATGGCACACACATATCACTAAGCACACACCACCCCGACCCAAGGCCTCGCGCTCAGAGAATCGGTACAAAGGAGACAGGCAGAAAAAATGTCCCCATTCATCATGACTGTGAGGTGTCACTGACGAGGGGGAAAAGGAGGAGGAGGGAAGGAGGAAGGCGAAGAAGAAAGAGAAAGAGAGAGAGTGGTGGGGGGGGAGGGGGGGGGGGGAGGAAGGGAGGAGGAGGGAGGAGGGGAGGGAGGGAAAGGAGGGAGGAGGGAGGAGGAGGAGTGGGAGGGAGAGGAGGGAGTAAGAGAGAGAGAGAGAGAGAGAGAGAGAGAGAGAGAGAGAGAGAGAGAGAGAAGGAGAGAGAGAGAGAGGAGAGAGGAAGAGAGAGAGAGAGAGAGAGAGAGAGACGGAAAAGTTCTTGGGTTTGTTCGTTTATTTTATCACGTAGGTGTGAAGATCCATGATGATGAAGACAGTAATGATAATGATAATAATAACAATAATAATTATTATTTTATTTTTATCATTATTATCATTATTATTACTATTACCTTTATTATCATTATGATTACTATTATCATTATGATTACTATTATTATTGTCATCATTATCATTATTATTATCAGTATCCTTACTATTATTATTACTGGTATCATTTTATCATAATAATGATATCATTAATTTCAATAATCATTATTATCACCATCATCATCATAATAATAATAATAATAATAATAACAAACGATGATAATAGTGATAATGATAATAATAATAATAATAATAAAAATAATAATAAAATAATAATAAATAATAATAATAATAATAATAACAATAATTAATATTGACATTATTATTATAATAATAGCATTAATAAAAACAACAATAACAAGAAAACTAGAAAAATAAAAAAATATAATAATAAAAACAATAATAATAATTACAATTGTAATAATAATGATAATAGCATTAATGTTGTCATTTTTTTGCAATTATAATCATTATCACAGTAAAACCACCAACAACACATAAAAATAACAAAAGCAAATAACAAGTAAAGGAGTAAGACAAACAATAACAATAATAAAAAAGAATGAGTATTGAGTTTCAAGGTCGTGAACCTGTCGACCACATGACAGAGCAGAACAAGATGGCCTCGGGGGAAAAGGATGCTATGACAGAGAGAAAGATAAAAAGTGTCTGATGATAAAAAGTGTGCTGGTGCTAGTAGTAGTAGTAGTGGTATATAGTAGTAGTAGTAGTGGATATAGTGTGTAGTAGTAGGCAGAAGTAGCAGTAGAAGTAGTAGTTGTAGAAGTAGTAGTAGTAGTAGTAGTAGGAGAAGTAGTAGTAATAGTAGTACTAGTAGCAGCAGTACTAATAGAAACGGTAGTAGTAGTACTAATAGTAGTGGAAGTAGTAGTAGTAATAATATTAGCGGTAAAACTAGTAGTAGTAGAAGTACTAATACTACTAATACTACTACTTCTATTTCTACTACTACTAGTACTATCTAGTAGTAGAAGTAGTAGCAATAGTAGTAGTAGTAATAGTAGAAGCAGTAGTAGAAGTAGCAGTGGCAGTAGTAGTGGTAACGGTAGTAGTAATAGTAAGTAGTAGTAGTAGTCAATCAATTGTAGCGGTAGTAGTAGTAGTAGTATAGTAGTTGTAAATAAGTTTATAGTACAGTAGTAAGTAGTAGTGTAGTTAGTAGTTAGTACTAGATAGTAGAAGTTGTTTAGTAGTAGTAGTAGTAATAGTTAGTAGTAGAATAGAGTAAGTAATAGCAGTAGTAGCACTAACTTAGCGGTAAAGTAGTATATAGTAGTAATTGTAGCGATAGTAGTAGTAGTAGTAGTAGTAATTGTAGTAGAAGTACTAGTAGTAGTAGTAGCAGTGGTTTGAGTAGTAATAATAGTGGTAGTAGTAATAGTAGTACTACTAATAATAATAATTTTAGCGGTAGTAGTAGCAATAGTAGTAGTAGTACTAATTGAAGCGGTAGAAGTAGTAGTAGTAGTAGTAGTAATAGTAGTGGTAATAGTAGTAGTAATAGCAGTAGTAATAGTAGTAGTAAAAGTAGTAGTAATAGTAGAAGTAGTAGTAGCAGTAGTAGTAATGGTAGTAGTAGCAATAATAATAGTAATTATAATAATAATAATAATAATAATAATAATAATAATAATAATAATAATAATAATAATAATAATAATAATAATAGAAACAGTAACAACAGCAAAAAACAACAATATTAATAATAATTTTAATATGAATATGAACATGAACAAGAATATGCATATAAATAATATGAAAAATGATAAAAATGACAGTGACAATAGTAATAACAGTAACAGTAGTAATAATAATAACAAAAATAATAACGGTAACATAATAACAATAAAAATAGCAAATGTAACAGAAGTAATAACAAAAACAATAACGGTAACATAATAAAAAATAAAAATAGCAAATGTAACAGAAGTAATAACAAAAAACAATAACGGTAACATAACAAAAATAGCAAATGTAAAAGAAGCAACAACAACAATAACAAAAACAATATCGGTAACCTAATAACGCTAAAAATAGCAAATATAACAAGCAAAAACAACAACAAAAACAATAACGTAACGCTAAAAATAGTAAATGTAACAAAAACATTATCAAAAACAACAAAAACAATATCATAACGCTAAAAATAGCAAATATAACAGAAGCAAAAACAACAACAACAAAAACAATAACATAACGCTAAAAATAGCAAACATAACAGAAGCAACAACAACAATAACAAAGAGCGATGCCCACCTGGCAAAGAGTTCGCTGAGCAGCCTGACGAGCTCTTCGGCCGTGCACTGGTCGGACAGCGTGGTGAAGCCGCAGATGTCCGCAAACAGGATGCTGGAGGGAAGAGAATACGTCAGTAAAAGGAGATAAAAAGAGTATTCGATAAATAAAGAAGAGAGAGAGAGGAAGAGAGGGAGAAGAGGGAGAGGGAGGGGGAGAGGGAGAGGGAGAGGGAGAGGGAGAGAGAGAGAGAGAGAGAGAAGGGAGAGAGAGAGAGAGAGAGAGGAGAGAGAAGGAGGGAGAGGGAGAGGGAGAGGGGGAGAGGAGGGAGAGGGAGGGAGGGAGGGAGGGAGGGAGGGAGGGAGGGAGGGGAAGAGAGAGAGAGAGAGAGAGAGAGAGAGAGAGAGAGAGAGAGAGAGAGAGAGAGAGAGAGAGAGAGAGAGAGAGAGAGAGAGAGAGAGAGAGAGAGAGAGAGAGAGAGAAATATGAAACTAGTTGAGATAATAAAGGAAATAATATACATACCATATATATATATATATATATAATATATATATATATATATATATATATATATTATATAATATATTATACTCTATTTAGGTATTGGAAAATGTTAGTTAACATTTAGGTTTACCTTTCGATAATACATAATATCACGGATGGTAAGATAAGTTTGATCATTATGCTTCAATTTAAACTAATAACCGCAATCCTAGACAATCTTCTGAATAATATCAGACTAAGAAAGGCTATTATCTTCAGAGCACTTTCTGTCTGTGTGTGTGTGTGTGTGTGTGTGTGTGTGTGTGTGTGTGTGTGTGTGTGTGTGTGTGTGTGTGTGTTGTGTGGTGTGTGTGTGTGTGTGTGTGTGTGTGTGTGTGTGTGTGTGTTGTGTATGTGTGTAGTGTGGTGTGGGTGTGTGCGTGTGTGGGTGCGTGTGCGTTCGCAAGTTCGTATGCGAGAGTTTTTGTGTATATATATGTCTGCCTACGCTACAACGTCTCAGAATAAGCCCGACGCACGGAGAACCCATCAAAGCCCAAACAAAGCCACGAACGAAGGACCAAAATGAGGATCTTTGGCCCAAACGCGGAGACCCAACCGAGCGCGGGGACTACAATAGCAGCTTCCCAGAGGCAGCACTGACAACAGCCTCCCATTCTCCGCTCGTCTCGTCTCGCACCTGTTCAGAGGCTCGCAACAACAGGTGCATTAGGGGAGCAGCTGTGCGTGCAGGTGTTTTGGAATCGGTAAATCAGGGGAAAGACCGCCGAGTATATGGGGCGGTATGGAAGCCTTGCGAAAATACTCTGTTCTTTTGTGAAATCGGGTTATGTATGCTGTAGTTTGGAGTGTAACTTGCATAAACAGATTTATAAACGCGTATACATGTAGCGGGGAAATTATGATTGTTGAGGAATATAAAACTATAAACAGTTCATCTGTTAAAAAGATAAGAATTTGACAAAATACAACTCTTGTAAATTAAATCGAAAATAGAACAAATTCGAGCCCAGTATTTTTCATTATAATTAATTCATGATTAAGCCTTCATATTGTTTGCGTTGCGAAAATGTATACACACAAGCTATCAAACTTGAACAAATGCCAATCATTTTCCCACTGTGGCATCCAGTACGTATTGCCTGGTAATGCGACCCAACTATCCTTGTTGATCTGCACCGCGGAAAAACATTCGAAGAACTGCAACGTGAAGAGAAAAACAACAACAACAAAAGCAGTGTTACCGTGAAAAAATCAAAAAATCAAAAAGAAAAACAAAAGAGAAAGTTCAAAGCCACAGACACTTTATACACGAGCTACACTGATCACTTCCTGGTCGATCGAAGTTATTTTCCCCCTGATCCAAGTGCACAAGCAAATAGCAGGGAATCTCCTTAAAAAATATATACGAATAAAAGTCCCTTCCAATATCCTTTTGTCTTACAGTGACACGGAGGCTATTCCGAGGCTATCGAGTTCCGAGTTCGAATGACCTCGTATTTGCCGGAAGAATCGTCGAGAAAACACCGATGAAATATTTGCGAGAACATTCCGCTGCGCAAAGGGAATTCATTTGTGTTAGACGTGTTTGCAAGTGCTATTCCTTGCTCCTAATCGCGCTAAGTACAAGCACTTTGTGTTTACTGCTGTATTGATATATTCTATTATTGAGATCATGTGCTGTCACATGAGAGATATAATTGAATAAATACTTTATACTGCACTTATGTGTGCAGTCTAGAGAGAGAGAGAGAGAGAGAGAGAGAGAGAGAGAGAGAGAGAGAGAGAGAGAGAGGAGAGAGAGAGAGAGAGAAGAGAGAGAAGAGAGAGAGAGAGAGAGAGAGAGAGAGAGAGAGAGAGAGAGAGAGACAAAGAAGAGAAAAAAAGAAAAGACAGGAAAGCCCAAGACTTAGAGACGCACACACACACACACACACACACACACACACACACACACACACACACACACACACACACACACACCACACACACACACACACACACACACACAACACAAAATACAACATACACGCACAAAGACGCGTCCGGGGCAGGTTCCTAATCGGTTCTAAGATAGCATGGCGCAGGGAAACTATGTAGAGGATGTAAAATTGTCTATTTCGCAGTCGTCGAATTGCCATTTATGTCAATACTTTGCGGTTCATTATTGACAGACTAGATCTATTGAAATTAGATAAAAAAATATTATATAGAATGATATATAATATAGAATATATAATGAATATATAATAAATACATAATATAGAATCTATAATAAATATATATTATAGAATATATAACGAATATATAATATAGATTATGTAATAAATATATAATATAGAACATATAATAAATGTATAATACAGAATATGTGACAAATAGAATATATAATAAATATATATAGAATATAGAATAATTATATAAAACAGAATATGCAATAAATATATAATTTAGAACGTATAATAAGTATATAATATAGAATGCATAATAGATATATAATATAGAATATATAATAAATATAAAATATAGAATATATAATAATTATATAATATAAAATATATAATAATCATGTAATATAGAACATGATATAGAACATATAATAAATATATAATTCAAAATGTATAATAAATATATAGTACAGATAATAAATAAAATGATATAATAACATACAATAACAAACAGCGTATTAGACCATATATGAACCATATATCGCACTTTTCTCTCTACAGATTAGTAAAATATTTTGTGATGAGTACAACTTGATTGGTCTGTGGGGATCTCTATTACTTTGCTTATTTGATCCAGAGATTGCAAATTTACAAGTATATAAGTATCTAACTCTGCAAAAAGTGATCTAATCCTCTTATTTAGATGGTGCTTCCTTTGACCCGAAGGATGCTTCCTGCCAGCTGCACGGTGCTCCGATTCGGGGATATTTTGTGCTGCTCCTTTTGGCGTTTTGCGTCAAGTGGCGGCAGCTGAGGATAGTCCGGAAGCATCCTTTGAAACCGATTGTTCCATCCTTCCAACGCATTATTTGTTCGCGGCAGATTTCCCTTGAGTTCCCATGATCCCCAGAATCAGCTGGCGGACTCCAGAAGCCCACTATCCTTCGTACAATGAAATACTGAGTTCGGGGTACAACGGTTATGGAAGTTCCTTGGAGTTCTCCATGCTGAATGGTATCTAACTCCTTGAATGTTCCTTAGTAGAGCAAAATTTAGACACACGACTGAAAGGAATGCTGGAACATGGGAGTATTAGCGGAAGTTAGAACATTTAGGGGAGGCAAGGTCAGACCAGTTCATGTGACGACACCGGGTTGCTTGAATGCACAACACAGCCACCGCGACATAATGTTCGCCCTACTACGAGTCACCCCCATCACCCATGTTTGCAAGCTTCCGCCCAGGTCATAGTGTCCCGGCGCCGTAGAATCCGAGCACCCTTAATCACAGCGTGCACTCCCTAATCATATCAAAGACCCAATCCTTAATCCCCGTCTTTGAATGCCGCCGCTGGAGCGAGAGCTAATGCTAGGGCACCGACCTGAAACGGGACGGCTGAGAATCTCCTTATACAAAGGGGATCTCTGAGGCACAAAGAGCAGTTAATGCGACAAAGAACAAGGGGAAGAAGGAAATACTTCAAGGGATAAGTGGATGGAGTTTGAGAGTGATGCTGGAGGAAGATAGATGCACTGATTCTTAGCTAGTTTAGCAGCTTTTTATAGGGTGTGTAGTAGATGGCAGCTCGAGATTGAGTTTTTATTGCTGCTTGTTTCCTGGTCTAGTCGTCTTCGCACCTATTTTACTCGTCTATTCGCACATTTTACTCGTTTTCTCGTTTATTTGTTTATTCTCTCATTAGATTTCATTGTGATTCACACATTTGTTTTACTTGTTCGATAGGCTTCAGTAAGGGCGTACCTGCACTGATTTGCCGTTTTTTCTGCCGACCAATAGATGGCACCGCTGTGAAACACACGTACCCGTTCTGCTCTCTTCGGGAGGCTAATGTTATTGCTCAGCGCCATCACTCCCGTTGGCTCTGGAGCTGGAGCAGGTCACGGGTCTTTCCTTCGTTTTTTCGGCCGGTGTTCTTTAGATTCTGCTCGTGATCCACCCACGTAATCTCCGAGATACCCAAGTTAGGTATTATAGTATTATAGTTTTTTTTTTTTTTTTTTTTATCAAAGCTCCTTTATTAACTGGCACGGGAATAAGTACTTAATAACCACACGTGTGTATGTGGCTGAGGTTTTGATGTTCTTTTTTCCGGACTTGTTAGTTCTGTTCGTTCTTTTAGAATAGTGGGGAAGTGTTTGTCCGTCCCGTGGTATGTTCAATGCTAACTGTTATTCTATGTCCGTCCTGTGGCATGTTCTATGTTAGCTGTTATTTTATGTCTGTCTTGTAACGTGTCCAGTGTTATAATTGCGCATGTTTACTTAATGCAATCAAATAAATGTAATACTTAATACAATCATCAATTACTTAATTATTTGTGTATGTTTACTTAATACAATCAAATAAATGTAACATGAATTGTGTAAATGTTTGGCTACTCTGCACAGTGATACCGCCATATTTCAACATCTAGATAAATGATTTTGAATCTGAAGTGGAGTTGAGCAAAATACAAACTAACCGAAAAGGAATGTATATGACATCTTGACACAAAAGGAAAGTTCTAAAAATAAAATATTATTGACGTCACGATAAACACTAATTGGGCACTACATGTTTTTTTTTTCTTTTTCTTTTTAAACGTGGATCTTTGCGTCTTCTTTCTCCTTTTCCGTCACCTTAATCCGCCTTTCTATTTTTTTCTCCCTCCATCTTCCTCTATATTCCTCCATCATCTTCCTTCATTTCCCTTTCTTCCATCTTTCTCCATATCCCTTTCCTCCATCTTCCTCAATCATTTTCCCCTCCATCTCCTTTTTTTCCATCTTCTTCCATTTTCCCCCATCGTGGTTTCCTGTCACTGTGTCTCGGCACCTCATCATCAACCTCTTGTCGTGTTTCCTTCGACCTCCTTGTCCCTCATAGCATCCTACGTCCTCCTCCCACATTCGTCCTCTGCCCAAAGCATCTCCTTTCCCTCTCTCCTTCCCCCTGATTTTCGGCACTAAAATCTCCTCCTAATTTCTCCGTTTCTCATCTTCTTTAGCGTTAATAATAACAATAATGATAATGGTAGTAATAATAATAATAACAATAATAATAATGGTAGTAATAATAATAATAACAATCATAATAACAATAACAATAATCATCATCATCATCATCATCGTCATCATCATTATCATCATCATCACATCATCAATCATCAATCATCATCATCATCAATCATCATCATCATAGTAATAGTAATAAGCATTACTAATGACATTCCTGTAGATAATTGAGAACAAAAACATCAATAGCAGTAACCATGATGACGAAACTTGATCCCCATTAAACAAGCCTTATTCATGTAGCCTTTTACCACATTTTCTTCCTAATTCTCCTATAATATGTCAAGCGTAGAGTACCTGCCACGCGCCTCTGGATCGAAACCACATCTTAGGCGATAGTGTCAGTCTTCACAAAGCACTCGGGTTTACTTTACCTATATTCTCTCTCTCTCTCTCTCTCTTTCTTCTCTCTGTCTCTGTCTATCTCTCTTTCTTTCTTCTTTCTTCTCTCTCTCTCTCTCTCTCTCTCTCTCTCTCTCTCTCTTTCTTTCTTCTTTCTTCTCTCTCTCTCTCTCTCTCTCTCTCTCTCTCTCTCTCTCTCTCTCTCTCTCTCTCTCTCTCTCTCTCTCTCTCTCTCTCTCTCTCTCTCTCTCTCCTTTGTCTTTCACTTTCTCTTTCTCCTACTCTCTGTCTGTCTCTGTCTGTCTCTGTCTGTCTTCTTCTCTCTCTCTCTCTCTCTCTCTCTCTCTCTCTCTCTCTCTCTCTCTCTCTCTCTCTCTCTCTCTCTCTCTCTCTCTCTCTCTCTCTCTCTCTCTTTGTCTTCTTTCTCTTTTTCCTACTCTGTCTTTGTCTGTCTGTCTGTCTGTCTGTCTGTCTCTCTCTCTCTCTCTCTCTCTCTCTCTCTCTCTCTCTCTCTCTCTCTCTCTCTCTCTCTCTCTCTCTCTCTCTCTCTCTCTCTCTCTCTCTCTCCGTTTTTTTTTGTCCTTCTATAGCTGTGTTTATCACTTTCTATTGGATCTCCACTCCCATTCCTACTCCTACCCCCACTCCCACCCCAATCATAACTCTTTCATTACCACTTCCTCCCCTTCACCCTTACCCCACTTCACTTTCTCATACCCACTCCTACCCTACTCCCACCTCCACTCCTTCCATTCCTCTCTCTCGCTCCCACTCCCATCCACTCTTACTCCCATTCACTCTTCATCCCACTTCCACTCCCACCCCTTCACACCCATTCTCATCCACTCCCACCCCAACTCCCTTTCCCATTCCCACTTCCACTCCTACCCCTTCCCTCTCATCCCTAATCCCTTTCCCACCCCCACTTCCACTCCTACCCCTTCCCTCTCATCCCTACTCCCACTCAGCCCTAGCCCCCACCCACTCCCCCATCTCACCCTACGCGACCACCTACCTGACGTTATCGTGTCTCTGGATGTAGATCTTGTGGAACATGGTGTCCTTGGGGATGACCGCGATGTCGGACTTCATCTCCATGGCCACGTGTCTGGGCAGCACCGACAGCAGAAGACGTTCCTGCGAAGTACACACACTGATTACATCTCTGGAGTACGGGGCGGAGGGAAATTGAGTTACTTCCCCGCTTCCCTCTCCACGAGCTCCTCTCGGAAAAGCCGCGGGACCCTTCGCTCGGTAAATCTTTGCTTCGGAGGCTGTGACTGATGGTTCCCTTATGGTCGCGGGGATGGAGGCAAACAGGATGGCGAAGGGGATCATGAGGAGAGGGAGGGAGAGGGAGAATGACAGGGAGGGGGAAGAGATGAGTGAAGGTGGTGGAGAGAGGGAGCGAGAGTGAGAGGGAGATTGCCAACAACCATCGTGAATAATAATTGAAAAAAGTCTGCTGCAGATATTCCCTGTCTACTGAGAAAAAAAAATATAAAAAATAGAGAGAGAGAGAGAGAGAGAGAGAGAGAGAGAGAGAGAGAGAGAGAGAGAGAGAGAGAGAGAGAGAGAGAAGAGAGAGAGAGAGAGAGAAGAGACAGAAACACTAAAGCAAGATAAAATCAAATGTAAAATCAGGACAACCTTAAAATCAGACTGAAACTATCGCAGTACACCCCCTCTTCCCCTGCACAATATTGCACAATGCAACTTCCTCGTAAGAAGTGGCAGATGTTTCAAGATGGTTTCCAAAATGTCGAGATTTCTATTGGATGTCAATATTGCCCACTTGAATATCTAAAAAGCTATGTGACGAAGACGTGAAGAAAATTTGTTCTGTCTCAGCCAGAGAGAGAAAGAGAAGAGAGAGAGAGAGAGAGAGAAGAGAGAGAGAGAGAGAGAGAGAGAGAGAGAGAGAGAGAGAGAGAGAGAGAGAGAGAGAGAGAGAGAGAGAGAGAGAGAGAGAGAGAGAGAGTAAAGGCGTTTTAAGCATGAAAATTTGGGTGTTTTAAGCAGGAAAATTTGGGCGTTTTAAGTAGGGAAATGTCTTGCCTAAAATCTCGAGACCTTTTCTTGTTATCTCAGGCGACCCCAATAGATGGCTAGACTTCCGCTTGCTAAGTCAAGCGGTGTACCGTCACCATGGCAACAGCGTCATTCGCGTACCGTACTGGGTACAAACCTTCGAATGCGAGCGTTGACCATGAACTCCACTTAATGTTTTTATCAGAGAAGTTATTTTTTACGATTTCTTTTTCTGTAATTTCCATAACATTATTTTCAAAGAAATTCAAAATATGAAAACTAAAGGAGATAATAGAGATTATGGGAATGATTTTTTTCTTATAAATCATAAATCATTTTAAAAAGAACAATTTATCTCTAAATCGAGAATATACCAACTTTTCAATGAAACAGAATATTTATATTTCAAGTGGAAAATTCTGAAAAATTCTAGCAGCATTCTCCTGTTGATATTGCATTCAGTGAATATTATATTATACTTCATAAAATTGTATATATGGAAATAGGTAGACCTATATTTCATTATTTTCTTTATTATGATCATTTGCTTTGATAGCGCGTCAGATTGTAAGGGTTGCCAGTCGGAAATAAGAGTCACTGTATATACACATAGAAGAAATATTCTACTTTATAAAGATATTAGGGTAGATTTATTAATTTAAAACGTTTACTGTGGAAGATACTTGAATTTAAGCGTAGAATATTTCAGGCTAGACATTTAATAGAGCCATTCATGCAGATTAGCAACATTGCTCAGACTCGAGCAGTCGTTTTAAGCAGCAAACAGTGCAGCCTTGGCCTCGGAGCAAGAATTTTTGACCAAGCGAACCCCTGCATATAACGCCTTATATGTCTGTTTTTTTCGCAGCGTGTTTATAAGTGTGTCAATAGGGCTCGAATTAGACTATCACCTCTGGGGGTTCTGGGGCTCAGAAGCATCTTATGGAGGCCTGCTAGGAAAATATCTTTCAGTAAAGATATTTGGATTTGAAAATAACGGGATGTGTGTGTGTGTGTGTGTGTGTGTGTGTGTGTGTGTGTGTGTGTGTGTGTGTGTGTGTGTGTGTGTGTGTGTGTGTGTGTGTGTGTGTGTGTGTGTGTGTGTGGTGTGTGGTGTGGTGTGTGTGTGTGTTAGAAGTCTTTCATCTTGTGCATGCAAATATTCATACGTATTTGCCCAGCAATATCAAAGAGAGATAAACTCCTAGACCATTCATGTGTCCTGCGTTCGCTTCCTTTCACTTGCAAATGCAACGAAGTCGAGTGAAATGGAAATGAATTGAGAAAAAGCACCTCTTAAGTTTGTCAATCTTCTCAAACTCTAATCCAATTCACACTCACACAAGCCGTTATTCACAGTTTTTCAGAAATTATCACGAGCCATTAAAATTGCTGGCTCTCGGGACCCCACCCCCTTTTTTATCAATAAACGCCCTCGTGTTGCCTTTCTGAAACCATATGCTTATGTGAGGTATCATGGTAATCCTTAAATAAAATATCAAAACCTTAATTCCAAAGAATATAAAATCTTACTTGCATTTCAATCAAAGATAAATAGAAAAAAATATATATAAAAATGATATAGTTTACTATAGTCCCAGCTCACACTGCTCTCACCCGTTTTCTTCCATTGATTCCGGTCAAGTCTTTTGAAATACACTTGACCTTGGGTTAACTGCGCAATTCTTTCCTGTTTTTAGCTGCCGAGAGGAACATTGCATTGTCAAGTACCAGTGGCAGTGTATATCATATTTCGTGTTACCACTATATATTAAAAAGAAAACTGTGCCATTAAAGTCATGAAAACAGCGTGCTTATAACGTCACTGCCATAGCACCAATCACATTTTGTTTTCTCTGTGGTAACTGAATACTTCAAGAGACTTCGGAACTTCTTCCAATGTGGACGAGACAGAATTCCGATCTCTGTCCCGAGCCCAAAAGCAAATACTTATAATATGATTTTCTTCGACAATAGGCAATATATCCTTTCAACCAACATATTTCAGAGTTTTACCTTTTTCTCTCTTATGTATTCTCTCTCTTTCTTTCCTTCTCTCTTTCTCTCTTTCTCCTCCAGTCTCTCTCTTTCTCTCCCAGTCTCTCTCTCCCTCCCTCTTTCTTTCTCTCCCTCTATCTTTCTTTCTCTCTCTTTCTCTCCCCCTACCTATCTTTCTCTCCCTCTCTCTCTTTCTCTCCCTTTCTCTCCCTCTCCCTCACTCTTTGTCTTCCTCTCTCTCTCTCTCTCTCTCTCTCTCTCTCTCTCTCTCTCTCTCTCTCTCTCTCTCTCTCTCTTCTCTCTCTCTCTCTCTCTCTCTCTCTCTCTCTCTTGTTTCCTTCTCTCTTCTCTCCCCCTACCTCTCTTTCTCTCCCTCTCCCTCACTCTTTCTCACCCCACTCTCTTTCCTTCTCTCCCTCCCTTTATCTTCCTCCCTCCCTTTCTCTCTCTCCCTCACTCTCTCTCCCCTTCTCTCTTTCCTTCTCTCCTCTCTTTGTCTTCCCCCCCCCTCCCTCCCTCCTCTCTCTCTCTCTCTCTCTCTCTCTCTCTCTCTCTCTCTCTCTCTCTCTCTCTCTCTCTCTCTCTCTCTCTCTCTCTCTCTCTCTCTCTCTCTCTCTCTCTCTCGATAAATCTGATTATAGCCTTATATACATATTAATCAGCACTATCTCCTTGAGCTTCATTGAAATCTAAATAATCCTCATCAGTATTCACATCTACTGATGAAATAAAAACTGATAATATGATAAAGATAAGGATAATGAGCAGTCCCAACAATGGTGATTATGAGGCAGCTGATGATAACAGTAAGGGAAATGCGGCCATGGGCGAAGGGAGCGGTGAATAAATTACGTGGAAGTGATGGGAATCTCTCTCCCTCTCCATCTCTAATTCCCTCAGCACATTCTTTCCGTTCTCCCTCTCCATTTCCATCTTTCCCTCCTTCTGCCTCTGTCTTTCCCTTTTCTTCTCCCTCTCCCGATCGTTCTCGCCCCCCTTCTTCATCTCCTTCTCGCTCTTCTTCTGCCTCTCCATCACTCCCTCCTTTTCACTTCATCTACCTCTCCCTCTCCCTCTCTCTCCCTCTCCCTCTCCCCCGCCCACCCGCCGGCGCACCACAGAAACTTTTGCCCCCGCGAGCCCTTGAGAGAGATCTGAACGACGGAAGAAATTGAAAAGGAGATCAATCCCGCCACTCAATAATGCGCCACCCCGAAGCCGCCCATTATTACTGCATGTTGTAAAGGGGCGCCGACGGCTCGCATATGAAAGTGGCAAGGAAACCCTACATCAGCCTCGGGAAGGAAGCAAATGATCCGCGCCTCCTCCCCCTCCCCCTCCCCTCCGCGGCTCTTTGCGGAGGCCGTGCGCTCAGACGCCGCGAACGGGGCTCCTAATTTGATTCGACGCATTCACACATGTGGGTGCTACACGTACACGTACACGTACACACACGTACACGCAGCGGGGCCTAAGGGACACGAGCGCCGGAACGCCAATCGCCAATCCTCATTCGCGGCGAGAGACCCGGCCGCGAAAACCATTACTGAAATACCACCTTCTCCGTCTCCGCGTTCCCGGCGGGTCTAATCAGCAAGAAACAAGCGCTGCTTCTTGATTATGTCAATGCTTTAAGGCGTCAGAGGGAAGCCAGGGGAGAGACCGACGTGTTGTGTTTTCTCTTTTCTTTTCTATTTCTTTTCTTGTGTTTTCTTTGGTTGGTTGGTTAGGAGGGTAGGTTGGTAGGGATAAACAAATAGATATACACAGACTGGTGGTATTTAAATGGATAGAAGGACAAACAGACAGACAGACAGTTCAATGGATAGATGAAAGGACAGACAGACAGACGGAGATGGGATAGATGAAAGGACAGACAGACAGACGGTTAAATAGATAGAAGAAAGGACAAACAGACAGACAGACGGTTAAATAGATAGAAGAAAGGACAAACAGACAGACAGACGGTTGAATAGCTAGATGGAAGGACAAACAGACAGACAGTTATATGGATAGATGGAAGGACAGGCAGACAGACAGACAGGTAAATGGATAGATGGAAGGGCAAGCAGACAGACAGACATTTAAATAGATAGATGGAAGGACAG